TTTTACATTATTCTTCGATTCTGCGTAATCCAACTTTAAAGATATCAAAATATACAAGGGATATTATTCCATAACATTGCAGCGAACTTGTCAACGTATTTAACACAAAGCTGTAAAAAAGTTGTTATCCAGTATCAAACATTCTGCCATTATTGTTCCTTATATCATCCTTGAATACATGGCATTCATCTGTTTATTTTGTTTTTACCGTATGCCATGTATAACATGATTCTATTATTCTGAATTCTTCTCATGTAAAATAATCATCTTCCAAATAGTTCAGGCGTGATAGCTTATAAAAGATGGAACCGAGTGTTTGATACTGGATATACTGTAAAGAGTCCAAAAACGTTTCATATAACTTACTTTCAGACCTGCTTAATGCCAAATTGCTAGAATGGTCTTTAAAGCCATAACAATTTATGTTGACTAATAAATTTAAAACGTTTCGGTTGTTTGAAAATTAAGCGCAATTTTATTTTGTCTTACGTCATTGATGCTGTAGGAAACTTTATATAACCGTATAATGTCATTTTGGCAGCGTAAACGTCAGTGATATTTATAAACACATTGCGGCTTTATTGTTGTTGGAGTTACTTAAATTTATTCCATAACGTCTTTATGATATGAATATCTAATATTTTAATCTCAAACATAACAATATATTTTGAGATCATGAGACGCAGCTGCTTTCTTATCTATAGCTGTTACTATTTTTATCTCGTTACCAAACTGTGAATTGTATTTTAATTCTATTCATATATGTAAGGTTATTCTAAAAATATTCTCCAAACACCTGGGAGGCTATATTTAAGTAAAATAGTTTTTATATAAACCACTTATTTCAACATCATTCATCATATTTTCAGCGTTTATAAGTATCTTAATACCTGCATGTTCGGTGTTGACGAATTGTGCAAAGGAACTCCACTTAGGCCGAAAAGCCTGAAATACAAAGATCAGCTGGGTCACTTAATCCAATACACTATATATAAATTGTAAAACGTTTTTAATGCTGCTCTTAGTCCCGATTTAGTGAAAAGCGTAAAACACGCTTTTTAATTATGGATCGTTTCTTATTATTATTCTGGAAAAATTAATTGAGTTAATGATCTGAAATTTTTACATACTGCAGTACACGTTAATTGTGTAAACCTACATCTAAACATTTATCTCTAAAAATTGTGTCCAGTCCCTTTATCGCAAAAAAACTCAGTGGAGCCCTTTTAAGAAAAGAATATACTAGTATATCATTCTCTGATGAGACAGCCTAACACATTATTTTAGGTATGAAATACTTTTGTGAATGCAATCTTTCGTATGGTATGAGTTATACGAGCGTACCTACAATTTCTTTTAGAAGCAAGGAAGTCAAATAATAACTCTCTCAAATATCATATACGATTTACACAACCACCACAGCCATGATAAGCCAATCAATCCTGTCAAATTTAAATATATTTTTGTTTGCTTTTCAGTTTAAAACTAATACCACAAAAACTCCTCCCTGTGTTAAAGAAAGCAATTCTTAATATATTTATCGAATACATTGATGACTATGCAAAATGAGATATAAGTATACGATCTTTTATACCTGTAAAGAATTTAATTCTAATAATTAGCTTGGATTTGTCAAACTATACAATCATTAAGTGAACAGGTCAAACCTTACTTCATATCTTAACTTAAAATCAAGGACAACCACATTTGACAGTATTTACGTTCAAAATATTAAGCGATGAACTGTAAAATAATTTAGTTGTTTTATTCTTCATCATACATGGTGTTTGGAAAATGTATGATGAATTAAAAAGACAACTCTGTGGCGTGTCGTGAATTAAAAATAATCAGTGATAGATAATACAGACTCATTTAAATTGTGTCTGCGAATTTGCATTCATTGATCTTGGCGAAAAATCTCTCCTTTCAATAATTTCAGCAATTCACAGTTCGTAATTTGAGCTCTGACATATTAAAATGTTGGCATCGTTTTTCTGTAAGTTACGGATGTATGTTACAGGTTGTGCCAACTTTAGGTAAACCACCGATATGCCAAAATTGAGCGTTTTGTTTTGACACAATTAAGAATAACATTGTTTCATCACTCTTGAAATAAATATAAATATATATGAGATTAAAAGAACTTTGAAACGTTCATTGCAGCATTTTCTGATATTCGTCCACTTAAGAATAAAGAAACCTTAATATTTATAAATAAAGACTTATGAAATAAGAATATAAATAGAAAGGTTGATAAAATGCAAATATTGAAATATTAAGAGATCGACATTTTCCCATCCATCAGATATATTTCTAACAAAAATGTAATTTACAAATCAGTTGGGAAAATGCAAGGGTGCTTTGAAACCCAATTTTCGTAATCAAATAAAAGAAAAGTGTATAAATGAAAAACCTTTCCTTCGAGTAAAAGATTTTTTAAAAGGAACTTTAAAAAAGATGTAAGATTGTTGTAAAGGCAATGTTAATCTGCAGATTGACGAATGCTCTGCAAAGGTTTCACTGTATTTTTAACATACATACCGAGGAGCTAAAAAGAAAAATGGACAAGGAAATGGTTGCAAAACAGTATTTAAATTATTGCTTTTAAGAAATATTAAATAATTGTCTCATTTAAACATATTGAAATACAATCAACATATAACTTAATCATTTAATCAAGTATAAATGAAATGTAATAATTTCAAACTATACTCTTTCAAATTGTGGTCAACGTAAAAGAAATCTTGACTAAATGTTGATTTGGAGATTTAAGCAGAGTGAGAAATCATCATCTTTTAAAAGTATTACATTATAATTTAACAAATATAAAGCTGACAAGTGAATTGTGATTAACAAACAATATTGTGTTGTATTGTATCTTAATCATCTACTTGATATGATGTATTTGTAGTCCTTACCACGTGACCATGACTCGTTGCTAGGAAATGACTTTTGATGCATGGAACTTGACAGTTTAAATTGAAATAGAAAGGAAAACAAAATTGATCAACACCATTTTGAGGGTCTACCAATAGAATTGAGATTTAAAGAATCTAAAAAATAGATAAATATAGAATCCCTAAAGAAAGCCCAACACGGCAAAATTGAAAATGTTGCAGGCTCGGTTTGATTGAGCCTGTTCATGGACGGTACTGGAAAGTGCAAATTACCGTCCACGCCCCCTAGCACCGGCTTAAGCAGAATGGTTCTATTGCTTCTATTGTTCTATTAATGGTTCTAAGTTCCATTCGCTTTAACTTATATACTTATGCGTCACCATTACATTTAGTTCAATACCACGATACATATTGAAAAAGTTTTATGTTCTTATAAATCCACAATGAAAGTATTATTTAAACCATTTAAAATGTTTGAATAAAAGTTACTTTTTTACTCAAGAATGCATATAATCCTCTGATGCCGCGATTAACAGTAAAATAAATTTGGAAAAGGGAAAGTTATGGAAACAAAAATAAAAAAGAGAAACTTGCAGACCCAGTTTAATCGAGTCTGGTCATGAAAGTTTATTAAAGGTTCAACTTTTCTCATACTTCCTTGAGCTAAAACAAGGTAAGCCATTGTTTATGTTAAGGATAACGATCAGATAATGCAATACTATTTATATAATGGAAATTACTTACACAATGAGTGACCAAATAAAGATTCTTAGCTGTTGAAATAAATTAGAAAAGCTCTTTTCTAAATTGACTAAAGATGATATGTGCCGCATGCTGTTCGCAAACGCACTATGTTGGTTTTGTCGTGACGTGGCTCATATATACGTTATTTTGATTACACCACTATTGTAAAATTGTTGCCATACACATTTCAAACTGACAATCAATGGTCATACGGAAGAACAATATTTTTGAAACGTTTTCCTCTAGAACTCAGACATGGTTGTTCAAATTCTTCCTATAGAAATCATAGTGACAAAAATATAAGTATTATTATCCATAGGAATATTAACATAATTTACTCCTTCAAAGATTCAGAACCGAAAGCCACAAAAAACAGAATTTAGGATGAAAAAGGAATAAGATGCGAAAGGCATGAACTTTCAGATTGAAATGAAAATCAAGGGTAAATTCAAGCCAAGTCTACGACTCACTTATTAAATTCTTAAAATAGCCTTTGGCAATTCCTTTTTGATGAAAGTGAAGTCTGTGATGCTTCATTAAAACTAAATGGAAATAAAATTTGATATAGATGCAACACAATTTACTTTGATAGCAAAATATATGACACTTACCTACGTATGCCATAAAGATATTTTAAAAGTTTATTCTTGTCTGTGCAAATTTTAAGTAAATCTTATAATCAATACCCCTTATGCCTCAAAAAGGATTTCATTCTTATTTCTCAAAAGGTTTTAAGTTTTGATGTTCTTTTACAGGTTCCAGAAAATTACTCATTGGCCAATGACTTGGACCATATTTTGCTTCTGATGCTTCTGGCAATTAGTACATTTATAGCGATTTAGTATTTTGTATAGACGTTAAAATAGTACCTTATTACATTTTTCTACTTTATGACAATGATTTCAGATTCAGCTCTACTTTCCACAGATGATAAGCATCAAAAATGCTCAATACCCATGATCTTATGTTTATGTTATAAAACTCATCCCCTTTATAAAGAAGGAAAAACACGTTATTTGCTTCTCAGGCAAAATGGGCCTTTAATAGCTACAAACTAAATGGTTTAAATCTCAGCAAAGAAAGTTAGGTCGATTGTGACTCTTAACACAAAGACACAAAATGACTTTATGTTAATAATGGTTGGAAACCATTCTTGTTACATATTATTAATGCTTTAATGGCAAATATTTTATACAGCATTAACGGAAGTACCCTTATTACATCTAGTACAAAGTATACTTTTTATAAATATACAGCTGTAACTATTGTGTTACTTATTCAAAAGTGGGTCCACTCTCATATAAGCATATAATGATATACATATTATAGATAAATGTAGTGTTATTGTAATTATTACAGAGACTATTATAAAGTGTGGGGAGAGGAGCAGCTGGAGATGTGGTTAACCTCAAACCGACCAGAAACATAAAAGCAAAGCTAAGCAAAGTGATGCAAATCCATGTCTATCAAATAAATATCTGCGATGTTTTTCATCAGTCTAATTGATACAGACATCATCAGATGGTAAGTAGTAGAAAATTCAATTGAACTCCAACCAGTCATATATAGATTATATAATATAAACTACATATAATAGCAAAACCGCCTAAAATCACGTAACATAGCAATGTTCTCCATATATATAACAAAAATGACAGACAAATAATAATAATAATGATGATGATGATAATAATATAACATTCAATAATAATAATAATAATAATAATAATAATAATAATAATTAAAATAAAATAAATGAAAACTATAATTTATTCATACGTTACAACGGCTTCATAGACATAAATGTATGAAATATCAAGATAAAACATCATTATGCATTAGTAAGAAAGAAACATATTTGTATTATAAGTTCATATCCCACATTAAACAACCGTAACAACTCTACACTCTTGTTTTACGGGTACATCAAAAATAAAGCACGTTTAGCTGGACACCTTATTGTAGGGAAATGAATTCGGTTCAATAAAACACATATTGCCCGAGGTTTGTCATTCATTTGTGTCGCTACACTCATTTACATATATTCCTTCTTTATATGTCTTTCTTCTATATCATAACATTCTGAGGAATTCATTATATATTCAAAAATTGGGAAAAATAAAATGATGAAAGGCACACTAGCGTAGATTAAAGAAATAAATTATATATATTGATATTGTTTCTGTCGTAACTGTCACCATATATATTTGAAGTTAACTTAATAATAAACATATTTTGAGAAAGTAATTTGATAACAGTATTTCTTTTACATTATTGACATAATTCATTACTCTGAAAAGCAAGAACATATTTCATTTCAGAGAAAAAAAATGGATACTTTTACCCTAACCACGCTAAATATTTTAAATATACTCGTCCATCTTTCAATCTGGTTAAAACCATTTATCATTTTCAGGGAAATGTTTACATTATCGGCTGACTGAAAAGCGAACAGTGCTGGCAATGATCATAGAGCACCAACTTAAACGTCTGATCTTGGTCGGCACTGGTCCCACCGGCAGAATCATTTGACACCATCAGCTTAGAATTGATATGTCAATGCAAAATGTATTGTACTGGTTCTTCCAATGCACAGTGTCAACTGCATTACATTGAACATTGTCAATGTTATGATATGCATGTATGATATGCATGATATGCACCATTTAATACCAATGTATGTGAATAAAGATCATTGGAAAATAAATAATGAATTGTACAGAACCTTTAGTTGACCGTTACGTTAGCCAACCAATTCAAAAATGACCAAAATGGATAGATTTCTTATATAAAAAAAAACATTTTGAAGTAGCGTCATGCGAAAGACTTCTTATTACAAATATTTGATCTTTGTCGACCATTTTAATGACTCTTAACTAAAAATAATACAAGTACTTGCGGTTGAGCAAAGTAAATGCATTTACTTGTATTCTCTTCTGATTCATCAATTATCAATTATGAAAAATTTAGGTCAGCCAAAAATATGTTTGGCCAGACAGGAATTTGATGTATAATCTGACCAGATAAATTTTCAACCTCACCAGATGTTTGGCAAAATGTTTTACGCATACCTAGCAATACCACTATCAACTTTACAATCAGTTTTGTTATCAAATCTTGCGAAAACTTTCCATGTATGATCAGTCAAAATTATTCTCATCTATAAATATCATGTCATACGAAAATGTATGATTTAGTAAGAAATTGTTATATTCGCAAACTTGAAATAAAAACAAGAACATTAACTTGATGCTCCAACATCTAAAAAAGTAAAAGCCAAATGATTTAATTTTATGCCATTATCTATTTTTCTGCCGGTATCTTGGGATCACACCAAAAATACACAGACCTTTTGCTGTTATTAACAAAAATATGTTGTTTTTGAGATGTAACTGGTATATCATTCAAAACACGAACATATCAGTACGTTTATGCACCAAGACGCCTTTCTAGAATTAGATAAACTATGCTACGAACAAGTCAAAATAGACTTAGATGCCGGTGCATTTAGAACAGTTTCATATCAGATAGGCTTTGTTCAATTTTGATTAAAATGCATCAATTATATGTCTTCATAAATAAAAGAAAATACAAGATTTTTAAACATTTTATTTCCAGACATTTGTTTCAAATATACATAGTTTTGACTGTTTCAAATGTACATAGTTTTGACTGTTTCAAAAGTAATAGTTTTTGACTATCTTTTCTTAGATAATCATATACGAACCTTTGAGTGTTTCTTTCATAAAGCAACTGCTATAATTTCTAATTTTCCTTATATTTAAGCCCATTTCACATTGAAACTCGATGCCAAAATTTTTAAAATTACAAAGAATATATTTGTTTTTTTCACAAAGTATGTTATATATTTCTATTTATGATAATATGGTCAAGATGTAAAGCTAAATAAGTGAACTAGTTACACATTTCGAGTTTAAGTTTAAATGTCTTTGTGCATTTGTAGTCATTGAATAGTAACTACTCAATCTTTGAAATATCAACTGATATTATTGTTGTATTTTCTGCTCTGATGGTTACCAAATATCATTTCTCAAACATGATTTTCGTTTTAACCCATCCACCTCTGTAGACAAAACATTACACTTTCTTGCAATGAAAACAGCGGCTTTGTATTCATACACGTTTGAAGTTTTAACTTCGTTCACGTTGCAATTATACTAATAAAAGTAATGGGGGAGACATGGAGCCGGGAAATCTTTGACATTGTTTTTTAAAAGTTATTTCTTCACTGAGTCTATATTACTCATCCTTTATTTTCAAATGTTTTTACAATGAAATTGAGTTAGTGTTAATACATCAGATAATATAAAAACAAACAGTTACAATGGCAAATAAATTTCCATGAAAAATATTTGATTTTAAAATGTGTCTGCATTTCGATGAAAATAAATTTATTTATCATTTTAGGCATCATGACTTATTTCAACTTTTAAAGATAGTTTTTATGATATGTTGTTGTAAAGAAGTATCAAAAACAATTGTATATGTTCTATATAATAACAGTGAAATAGTTGAAAGTTGTTTTGAACTTTGCTATCACGGATGCGATCTAATGCAAGTCTGAAGCGCTGCATTTGGTACTTTGCTATCACATATTTGTTTTTAAGGTAAGATCACGAAAAACATCAATGCATTTTTCTTACAGACAGTGCTTTTTATTAAGGGGCGTTAATCTATTATCGACTGAAATCAAAACTGATTAGTCTTTGCCACCAGTAAAGAGCCACCAGTGCATTCTGACCAGGCTCTTGATATCCCCAAATATAATATAGGACAGTTTGAAAAATTAGTCTCGCTTCTCATTCTGTTTTGTTTGCTTGCAAAATATATACGAATGTGATATTCACAAAAATGAAATCTCAATGAAAGCACCGGATTTTTATAAAGTGTTTTACATTTAAATATCATGTCTATGTAATGCATAATACATTCAGAAGGTCTCCTAGAGTAATAGTGACCCAAAAAAGAGCCCGCAAACAACAAAATACCCAGGAGCCATCCGAAGGCAATATGAAATGTATGCCATGTTCATTCATTTATTTTGTTCGCCGACTTACGCATATATCTAAATAATTATTAAAATGTAGATTCACAGTATTGTTTCTACAATTATGTACACTGTAAAGTACATAATTTCAAAACTGAAATCAACAATTCAACAATGTCAATGGAGGCAATGGCATTGGACTATAGATACATTTAGAGCTGACTCTAATATGATTGTGACAGTATTACGTTTTGATTCTTTTCCTTTAAGTTTAGAATGAATTTATAATTTGTGAAACACATCTCGAAAAATAAATTAAAATTGCGTAAGTATAACTTACAGGAGACTTTGAATCATATGAAAGAGCAAATATGTTATGCTAAATTTTGACTATAAACGCGGGGCTTTTGGATTTCAAATCAAAGCGTTCGTGCTACTGGCTGCGTTATGTCACCAACTGTCATTTGAGTCACGAAATAATGCGTTTAGCTTGCAGTGAATATTTACATATTTTCAACGTAAAATTGCGGGAACTGTGCAGCTGTCATAAAATAATGCAATATGTGTGATATCGCTTCTTATAATATAACTGATTGTCTCATAATTACGACATGTAATCTATTATTCATTTATTCAACGGAAATGACGCATTGGACGGAAGTAGATGTAAGCATTATCAGGCGTGAATTATAATTCAAGAGTTCTTTCGATATAAATATAAACGTGTATCAATGAACCTCGTTACGTATCTCTACCTACACTTGAATGCTATACATGCGGAAACATCAAACAGTTTTGAAGTCACAGAATGGTGATCGATCAATACCCTGCCATTAAAATTCTTTTCGTGTTTAAGACATTTCCTTACAATATAGATTTCCTTGACGATGATTTCATACCAGTTATAAATTATGCGATGAAATGCATCTCTTTTTCTTTACAATTTATGTCATTTACTTTATTCCAGCTATACTGATGTATCTGATATGATACAAGAAAACAATCTACATTAAAAAGTCAAAGTAAATGTTACGTTTAATAAACGTTATTTATATTTTTTCAATAATATAAATTAACATATAAATTTATGTAATTTAAGTGCTGTTTTTTGTTGTTGTTTTTGTTTTGTTGTTGTTGTTTTGTTGTTGTCTTTTAAAAGTTTGGTTTGATTTTGTCCTATAAATAAAATTTTCCAAATAAAGATATATTAGATATACTCCCCCTCTTTATTACTTTAATCAATTATCACAACGTTAATTTGTCTCTTGAACAAAGAATATATCTTGACAAAAAACTAACTCTTCTCTTGACAATTTAAGTAAAAAATGTCTTCATAAATTAAAATCGATTGAATAAGGAGTCCAATTAAACCTTGGAGTAAGATACCAAGTGAAACAATTAAAAACAACCATTTGGACATTGGCATAGTGGTATCATTTTGTATAGTTTTACCATTGAAATCTAAAACAAGTACATTTTTGTAACGGATTTATGTACAATGTTGTTTCCAACTTTT